CTGGTCTGTCCTCTCGCTCCCTTCCTTCTATCCTTACTAAGTTTACCCATGCCCCCTAACCCTGATTTTGCCGACCCTGCTCCTGATCCCGAGATTCTTTAATAAACTGTGTTCTTCTATACCTTTATTTCTTTCTTGTTCAAAGTTACTGTCCTTTCTCTTTGGTAATGTCTATTCTTCAGTGGAATATTCGTGGATTTTATGCCAACTTCCATGAACTCCAACTTCTAATTACACAGTTTTCACCGCTTTGTGTTTGTCTCCAGGAACCAATGCTTGGTGCTCGTCCTGGTCACTTTCGTGGTTATTCCTTTCTTTCTTTCCCCCCAGCTCTTGCTGGGGCCCATAACTCTACTGCTCTCTTAATTTGATCTGATATTCCCTTTGTCCCCCTACTTCTTCCGTCACCTATCCATTGTTCTGCTGCCCGTGTTTTTGTTGGTAAATAGTATACAATCTGTTCCATTTATCTCCCCCCAAATGTACCGCTTTCTCTTCCTGATCTTAAGCACCTCCTGGACTCCTTGCCAGAGCCGGTGCTCCTTTTGGGTGATTTCAACTGTCGACATTCCCTCTGGGGTGATGTTCTGACAAACACCCGAGGCCGTCTTCTCGAACCGTTCGTCCTCACTTCTTCTCTATCTCTTCTGAATTCTGGTGAGCCCACTCATGTGGACTCTCGAACTCACACCCTTTCCTGTCTTGATCTTTCTCTCTGCTCATCGTCCCTTTACTTAGATTTCACGTGGCAGGTTCTTGACCTCCATAACAGTGATCATTTCCCTATCCTCGTTTCCTTTTTCTCTTTCCACCCTCCCCTCTCCTTCCCTAGGTGGCAGTTTGCCAAGGCTGACTGGAGCCTATTTACCCTCCGTGCTACTCTCTCTGACCTCTCCTCTCTGCCTCTTCCTCGCGCCCTCCTTTTTTATGACACTGTCTTCAACGCTGCACTCCGCTCTATTCCTCGCTCTTCCTCCCGGGGCACACGGAAGTGCGTTCCCTGGTGGAATGCGGACTGTGCTCGGGCTGTCCGCTGTAAGCGTGCAACCTGGATGAAACACCGCCGCCGGCAGACGGCTGATTCTTTTATTTTGTTTCGGAAGGCAAGTGTGGTGGCCCGTAGGACCATCCGTACAGCTAAACGTGAGAGCTGGAAATCTTATGTTTCCACCATTACGTCCGATACTCCTCTGCTGCAGATCTGGAAGAAGATCCGCAAGATTGCGGGCAAGTTCGTTCCAGATGTCTCGCCGGTTCTCCACCTCAGTGGTACTCTTGTGGCGGATCCGATGAAGGTCGCGACCGAACTGGGTTCCCACTTTAATTCTGTTAGCTCTGGTTCTCATCTTCCTCAATCCTTCCCTCCTTCGTAAGCATGTTCTTGAATCTTATCCTTCAGAATTCTGCACTCATCTCCACCTTCACTATAACGATCCTTTCTCTCATTCTGAACATCAGTCTGCCATGAGGATCCCTCTGTGGATCTACGGCGGTGGACTCGGATAACGTTCATTATAAGATGCTTCGCCATCTCCCTCCGTGCACGTCTCGGTATTTACCGAGTCTGTATAATCAGGTCTGGGAGTCGTCGTCCGTCCCTGAGGACTGGCTCGATGCCGTTGTACTCCCTATTCAGAAACCAGGGTCTCTCAGTACATTCCCTAAGGACTTCTGCCCTATTGCTCTCACGAGTTGTGTTTGCAAGCTGTTTGAGCGTATGATAAATGTCCGTCTGATGTGGTTCTAGGAACACCATCACCACCTCTTTCCTTCTCAATTTGGTTTCCGCAAGTGCCGCAGCACGACAGATGTCCTGGTGAACTTGGAGGTCTATATTCGTACTGCTTTTGCTGCGAAGACCTCCGTTGTTGCTGTCCTTTTTGACCTGGAAAAGGCTTATGACACGACTTGGAGATACCATATTCTGTCCCAACTTCGTTCTTTTGGCCTTCGTGGTAATCTCCCTCTCTTCCTCCGAAGCTTTCTCTCTCGTTGTACCTTTCGAGTCAGGCTTGGTACCACTCTCTCTGCCTCTTTTCGGCAGTATGAGGGTGTGCCCCAAGGTAGTGTTCTTAGTACTACTCTTTTTCTGGTTGTCCTTATCTTGAGATGATTTCAATGGCCCTCAATGGTCTTCTTTCCTCCCTTCTTTCTGGGATCTTCTCTGCTCTTTATGTTGACGATCTTACTCTTTGCTGTTGGGGTGATGATTCGCCTCTCCTTCAACGGCGGCTTCAACTTGCGATTGATGTCGTGGCATCTTGGGCCACCAATCATGGCTTCAAGTTCTCTACTACTAAGACTTGTGCCATGACTTTTACTCGGAAGCGGGTCATTCTTCATCCCTCTTTGTCACTTTATGGTCATCCCCTTGAGTACAAAGATTCCACGAAGCTTTTGGGGTTATTCTTTGACACTCGTTTGTCTTGGTCGCCCCATGTCTCTTACCTCCGTGTTGAATGCTCTAAGGCCCTTAACCTAATTAAGGTTTTGTCCCATATCTCTTGGGGAGCGGATAGACGCACGCTTCTCTATTTGCATTCCTCTCTCGTCCTGTCTAAACTTGATTATGGGTGCCCTGCCTACTCTTCTGCTTCTCCTTCTACTCTTCGCCGTCTTGATACTTTGCACCATACTGGGTTGCGCCTCAGCTCTGGTGCTTTTCGTTCAACTCCTACCCTCAGCTTTACGCTGACACTGGCTTTCTGTCTCTCTAAGAACGCATGTGATCGCTACAGTCTTCGCTATCTTGCGTGATCCTTACAGCATCCTCACTCTCGCCTCTATCGTGCTTTGACTTTTACCCCTCCTTTAGTTCCTGTTCCTCTTCACCACCTTCCTCTTTCTGTTCGTTTGTCTTGCTTACAAGATTCTCTTTCGGTTCGTATTACTAATGTTTCTCCTTGTATTGTTCCATCCTTGCCCCCCGTGAAGGGTCCCCCTTCCCAAATTTTATACTTCTTTTACCTGCATCACTACAGCTTTTACCCCTCCTACAGTTTTGAAACGCCTCTTCCTTGAGTACTTTTCTTCTCACTCCCACTCCATTCCCATCTTCACCGATGGGTCTAAATCTGCTGACGATGTGGGCTACTCTGTTGTTTTTCCTGACCACACTTATATGTGTCGCCTTCTCCGGAGGCTAGCATCTTCACAGCAGAACTTTATGCTATTCTCTATGCTCTTCGTCTCCTGCTTTCCCGTTGTCAATCCTCCTTCGTGGTGGTAGTTGACTCTAGTAGTGCCCTCATGGCTTTAGGGTCCTTTAATCCGGTCCACCCAGTGGTCATCGAGATTCAACATTGGCTGTTTCTTATCTCCAGTAAATTTAAGTCGGGTTGCATTTTGCTGGGTTCCCAGTCATGTTGGTGTCTCTTTTAAATGACCTTCTGGATGCTGCCGCTAAGGACGCTATCCGCACTTGTCCCATCTCCCGTAAAGGTATTCCTTATTCCGACTTTTACCCAGTTATTCATGACTCCATCCTTGCCCGCTGGCAGAGTTGTTGGTCTTCTGTTATTGGTAATAAACTGCGTACTCTTAAGAGTTGTGTGTTCCAGTGGCCTTCCTCCTGCCACCGTAACAGGCGGTGGGAAATGACTCTGTCTAGGTTGCGTATTGGCCATACCCGTTTAACTCACGGTCACTTAATGGAGCGCCGCCCTGCTCCTTATTGTCCAAATTGCATTGTTCCTCTTATGGTCATGTATATCCTTGTTGAATGTCCTGACTTCCAGGACGAGCGTGTGTCTTTGTTTTCCGATCGTCCCCCGCAGTAGCTTGTCCCTCGATAGAATTCTTGGCGACTTGGATACTTTTGATATCGTTCGCCTTATGCGTTTTTGTTCTTGTATTGGCATCCTTGGTGATATTTAGCGCCCTCTGATTATCCCGCACATTTGATGGTGCTACATAGCCTTCCCGGTTTGGTGCCTTCTATTGATACATAATTAATTAATTACTTATTTGTTCTAGTGGTAACCAGTAGAAATAAGGTTTAGTCTGCTTGTAATAAGTAAACAATTGGTTACTTACTGGGGCTATTATATACTTTTCATATTATATATAGTATTTCTGGGTTTGAATGCTCTATACTGGGATAAAATTAGGCATGCCCAATACACTACTTACAATCGATTTAATTTATTGAATGAAAATTAACATCCTACTGAAATTTTGACTGCTTATTCAGTTTACCAAAGTGCAATTTTTATGAAATTTGGTTTTTCTCCAAACCAAATCTGGTCCAGAGCAACATAATCTGGATTTTGGAGTATTCACTGTATGGCCTCATTTCAATAAAAATTAGAAATTGTTAAAGTCCTTGCACAGGCTCCAGCTACTGTCATTAGTGTGTGTCAAAGGCAGCTGCTTGTGACACACACTATCATCAGCCCATCCTCCTGTTTTGGTAGTACTTATAGTAACGATGAAGACCATACTACATATGCCAACGTACATCGCAGTTAGAAAGTAGAAATCGGTACTATTGAATTTGGACAAACCGGAATTTTTTTTATATTTGTTGTAAAGACAATCTAAGCTAACAAACCTTCCTAGGTTAATGCATGATATCTGAGGCTTAATATAGCATATGTGTATGCTATACTAGGCCTAGGAATATTTAAGTTTTTTTAGCTTCATTTTTTTCATACTATAAAGTGAATAGTACTAAATTGTACTACTGTATCTAGTTGTTTAGTGCATCAATCTTTGTATTGTGGTGTGCATAGTTACAAAAACTACTATCTAAACAGGAGGACGGGCTGCTATCATCATGGCATATCTGCTATTATACATTTTCCCATGATCTCTTCCCATGCTCTTTTGTTCCCAAGAGGTGGTGCATTCAGGCAACTATTTTGAACCTTTATATCGTCAGAGTGTAGTAACCTTTTAAATTATCAAAGTGTAGGGAAACTATAAATCATAATTTTTTCTTGGTAGACGATAGAAATAAGATTATTTTATATACAAGTGTGTAAAGTGTTGCTCGTGTTACAGAATGGTTAACCTTGATACACTCCTGCATGAAGCAGTGGTAAACAGGAAAGAAGGCTACAAGGAGACTTTACGGTGGGATGAAATTTTTTCGCGCATGCTGGGAAGAATGGCACCAGCAGTGAGAATCACCAGACAGGGTTCTGTGCCAGTTATCAGGAAGGGCAAGTTGGAGCTCATTGAGCTGGCAGTGGCTAAAAGAAGTGGTAACAAGAAGGTGGGTTGATGTGTTTTGTTAAAACTAATCACCGATCGTCGTTTCTAACTGTTGTTTGGCCTTTTTTGGTGATTTTTGTATTCATTACAAATTTGATCATTTGTTTTGTTGAAATTTTGAATAACTTATACTGTATATTATTATTTTTGTTTTAAAAGGAAAAGAAACTTATGTTACTATATAATTGTAAGGTTAAATTTATTTTGCTTTATTGGAAATTGATGATTTTCAGAATAAGATGACATGAAAACGTGTAAACTTGACTGAATACATTTTGAATATTATTATTATTATCAGCTATAAGTGACTGCTTAACCCTTTAAGGGGCCTGGTGCATGACGATTATTTTTCCAAATATGAAAAATAGTGAATACAGTGGCACCTCGACGTACGATTGCCCCTACTTACGATAATTTCGAGTTACGATGTAAATTTCATCGAAAAATGCGACTCGACATCCGATGGTGTCGTCGACTTCTGATATTTGTTGGTACACGTCCGGGTCGACCGAGCGTGTGGTTCCCAGTCACGCGGTCGACCTGCCTCAGTTTACTACAGCTGCCCGCTTAGTGACGATCGCGCCTATAAGAAATTCCGCTTTTGTGGTGATTTTTTTGCATTTTGAACATTAAAGTAATTATTATATATCACGCCATGAGTCCCAGGAAAGTCGGTGGTAAGGCTCAACATATGAAAACCCATGTAAGGATGACCATAGAGCAGAAACAAGAGTACAGAATGTCTCTTCCTCAACAATTAAGAAAATGTGTGCAGCATGGGAAGAATTGCAAACCTTTGCTGAAACGACTCACCCAAATAAAGCTGCAGTAGGTTGTTGCCTTAACCCTTAACATGCTCGGGGTTTAATATCCTGCCATCCCCACAGGCGCATGTCATTTTGAAAAAAAAAAAAATTATTTTTTCTTTCTAACCTGTTAATTTGTGTTCACTGATCACGGGAAAAATAATAAAAAAATCGTAAGTGGCATATATTGCCCGCTATAGGGTGGGGAAGTCTGGCAAATTATAGGCGCTGACTCAGCGTGCGTCCCAGGCGGTCTGTTGCTTGCAAGCTGTCAGGCCAGAGTTGCCACAAAGAGATAATTACCGAATTATTTCAATGTCTCTGATTGATTTTTCATACTTTTTTTGCTGTAATATTATTCAATAGTGTGTAGTTTGATATATTTATATAATAAAATGAGTGAATCGTTGGTGTACTCAAAAATATGGTGTGCTTATTGTTGATTCAATTATGTTCATCAATCAGTGAACAAATACTTTGTCGGTTATTACACTATAAGCACAGGTTATATATACTTATTTGCATGTTTTGTTCACTATAATGAACCACTAAGTAGCTATTATGAGTCAAAAAGTAATGAGGAGTGACCGCCGTGTACCAGCCAGCCACTCCCGCCCTCCCTCCAGTCATCTGACTCACCCTCATTCTCCTCCCACAATAATGTTTTTGCTATAATTCACTATATACAGACGTTATATATAAGTATCTACATGTTTTGTTCACCATAACTGTACATCTAAGCTTGTATGGTGAGTAAAGGCACAGAGATGTGGCTACTCACACAGTCAGCTGATCGGCGGCCGCCCTCAAGGTCAGACGCACTAATATTTCTCCTCCAACAATACTGTGTGGTGTTATTACGCTATATATCTTATATACAGACGTTATATATAAGTATCTACATGTTTTGTTCACCATAACTGTACATCTAAGCTTGTATGGTGAGTAAAGGCACAGAGATGTGGCTACTCACACAGTCAGCTGATCGGCAGCCGCTCTCAAGGCCAGACGCACTAATATTTCTCCTCCAACAATACTGTGTGGTGTTATTACGCTATATACACACATTATATATAAATATCTACCTGTTTTATTCATCATACTTGTACAAATAAACTGGTATGGTGCCCAAAGACCTCGTGGTAACCAGTAAACAACACCGTCGTCTGCACGGTGGCGTCGTGCAGACGACGCCACCGCCCTCACCAAAATGGCGGCTCCAAACCTTCTCTTGCTGTTTATACCCTCTATACGCACGTTATATATAAGTATCTACATTTGTGTTCACCATAGCGAACCACTAAGCTGGTATGGTGAGTGCAGTCAATAAAAGGTGGCCACACACAGTCAAAAGACATCGCCACCACCCTCCCTCCCACAGCATTACACCTCCTTCCATGGCGCACAGCACTAAATATCACCACAATCCTGCTATTATCAGAACCCTGGTCAGTTTTATCACAGTCAGGGGTCTTCTGTAATAATATCATCGCTACATAATAGCATGAACAAGTATAATTTGGCATTTTTAGGCGATGCTGTGGTCACAAGCTGAACAGCAGTGCTGTTAGCTCATGCTGCGTGCGTCAGGCTTGGTTGCTCACTCAATACTGAGGCCAATAACACCCGGGAGTTTGGCCCACGATTTTTTAAAAAAATGGCGTCTGTTTACAAGAGCCCTGATGAAGGTGTGGTGAACCCCGTGTATCCGCGGGCTGTTTAAATCTTGCGTAGTACTCCAACACATCATATGACGTGATGCGCAGTTTACTGGAACAACGTCCAGCACGTCATATGACGTGATGCGCACTTTAAGGGTTAACCTATTCAATGACACTGTGATGCATCATTACAGACAAATGTTAAAATGAAGGGAAAAACAAATGCCTCGACAAATTTGTAGTGAGACAAACAAGCACTGAACCACAACCAGGTCCTAGTGGTATTCAGGCAAAAGTAGGAGAGAGAGTACCCCAGAGAAAACATCACTGCCTGATGTGATAATGGAAGGGGACTCCCCTTCCAAACAGGAACAACTCTCTTTCTCCCCCCCCCCCCCCTCATCACCATGTTCCATACACCATCAAGAGCCCTCTATGAAGGTAAGAGACACTTTGGTACTGTATTGTAGTTAGAAAAAACATTGTATTCAGTATAAAATGTATTTGTATGTTAATATTTTGGAGGGTGGGGAACGGATTAATTCAATTCCCTTTATTTCTTATGGGAAAAATCGCTTCGACTTACGATCTGTCTCTGGGAACGGATTAGCATCGTAAGTCGAGGCTCCATTGTAATTTTAAACAAATCTCCCGTTATTTGGCATTAGCGTCGTGAAAATTTCATCCCATTATGTTAACCCTTTAACTGTGCGGCCTATAAATACGACACCCCCCCAGTGCACAAGAAATGAAACCTCGGGGAAAAAATTCTTTTTTCTTCTGAAAGTGTCAGAAACTCCTCCCTGTATATGGGTATAGCAACGGAAGTTCGAAATTGTACTTACTTTGGCTGCTATGGGGTCCGAAAGGTGGGGCGTGACGTCATCATTCCCCGTGCGCCAGAGCAGTATGCTCCCGGGGCCGGTGGGGCGCGCGAGTTGCCGCGAATATATTTTTGTTCAATTTTTGCGCACAGTTCCAAATACATTTTATTTGTTTTTACGTGCTAATCCTATGTATAATGAACACGTACACTATATTATGGCAGTAAAACATCCGTACTGTCCGAAGACACTGTGTTACGGGTATGACACTTGTGTACACATATGTTGCACATATTTACCATATATCATGCTAATTTATGTATATATACAATCTATTTACAGACTATACACTGTCACACACTATATACATTTACCATCAACACATTCAGAACACCACGAGTGAGAGCTGTCACACCCAGCCAGCCCTCCCTCACTCCTCCAACATTGTATTCACCAACATTACTCCTCCAAATCATACAGTTATTCACACCAATGTTTCATGTTCATTTATGTATATTTACAACATATGTACACACTATACACTGTCACACACTATATACATTTACCATCAACACACTCAGAACACTGCGAGTGTGAGGAGCCACACCCAGCCAGCCCTCCCTCACTCCAACATCTTACTCACCAACATTGCTCCTCCCACCATTCTGTTATTGTTCTTATTACACTAATTACACATGTTATATATACCTATCTACATGTTTTATTTACCAGAACTATGCAAGTAATCCAGTATTGTGTCCAAACAGTACAGTGGCCACCATACACTGCATGACAAATCACACAGCAGACAGCAGACGACGCCACGATTACGACGTCACCTCTCTCACCAAAATAGCTCCTCACAACATACTCCTGGTGCTGTTATTACACTATTCACACACACTGTATATACCCATGTACATGTGTGTTCCCCATAGCAAACCACGAATCTAGTAGGGTGAGCAAAACAAGAGTTACTGCCACACAGTGAGGCTACCTCAATAGCAGACACTAACAATGCTCTCTTCTGCCATGTGAGGGATTCTAATCATCCCATTGATTGGTCTTCCTCCAAAATAATCTTTCCTGCCTCTACTCTACACAGACGCAGTCTTGATGAATCGGCTCTAATACACAATGTACCCAACATGAACTTGAGTCCTGGCTTTGTTGCTGTGGACTCTTCCCTTTCACAGTATATACTCAAATGCTCTAATCTTTCTAACAAACGTGACTTAACATAAGCTTACCCCTTCCATTTATCTTTCTTTCTCTTTCCTTTTCTTTCTCTCTTCTCCCCTTTTTCTGTTCATTGTCTTCTCCTACGCTCCCTTGCTATCCTCTTCTTATTCCTATTACTATCTCCTCATTCGGTGGTTATAATAGGAGCTGCCTCGTATGGGCCAATAGGCTCTCTGCAGTCCTCATTATTACTACTATCCCCTACACCTTACTTTGCTCCTCAGCTCTCTCTTGCCTATTTATTGCCTGTCTCTACCTCCTCTTCACAATCGACTTGAGAATGGTCCAGGACGGACCGAAACGTCGTCGTCCCTTCAACTTCTAGTGTGTGGTCTGGTCAACATACTTCAGCCACGTTATTGTGACTTATCGCCTGCAACCTCAATTCTCTCCCTTCCTCCCTCCCTCACCAAAATTCCTCCTTCCTACGCGCAACGCTAATTATAACCACAATCCTGGTCACTAATA